TGCCTTCTTGCCATTAATCCTCCTCAGTTCCCTCCTAACCTGGGTGGTTGAGAGAGACAGGCTGGAGCCTTGTGTTGAGTGTGTATTGGATGCTGCAGTTGGGGGATATGGATAAAGCTCCACATGTACCACTGAAAACAGTTAAATTAGTTTGAATCAGAAATCAGGGCTCAAACTACTTGTTCTGAGACCATTTCTTCATTTTTCACACCAAACTGTTTGTAGCTGTCGCATTGAAATGTAATTATTATGTGATTGCAATGTTCAAAATTTGGTGTTTAATCTGGATTCATGTTGTGTTGTCGCCACCTACTGGTGGGCCTGAGTGTGACGCTTTGTGGTGCGCATGCTTTGGGGTGATGCTCAATTAAACGCACATGTCACCAGAGACTGAAGGCTCGAGCCAGAAAGAGAATGCTGGCTTGTGTAAAAGGTGGAAATATAGAAGATATGGACTACAATTGCTCATGAATGTTCAGTAGAAAGGCGCACACGGTATGTTGGTGCATTTACTTTGTGTGCATGTTTTATTTGAGTTGTAATTTTTGTTCTCCTGATGTAATATCCGTATTTTTCATTGATCATTTCACCAGTTTTTCACGGTGTTTGCTGGTGAAAAGAAGATTAAAATACTGGCTGAACATCAGTTGGAGCATGGCCCTTCATTCTACTTCGAACATGAAAAACCTTCAGGAGCAGTTACACTGTTTAATAAGACAAACGTTACAGAGTTCATCAAATATAACTAACGCTTTAACATGATCAGGATTTCATAATACAAACTTCAAATCAACAGGAAAACAGCTGCAGAACATGTGGATCAAAAATGAATTCCTTAAAAAACAACATGTGGACTTCAAGGATAAAGTAAATACACTAAAGTGAAAGGAGGAGCCAAAAATGTGAAGGAATTTGAATTAAGTAAAAGTAGTCACCTGTGATCTTTAAAATTGCCCTGATGTGTGCTGCCGTTTTTAACTTTCAACATTTCTTTGCTGCCACTGTGAATATGAATGTGGTCTTTGCCTAATTAAATAAATGTTACACTGACTCACTGCTTCATGTTCTGGTACAAACTGGCAATATATGAAAGTACAGCCCAAAACCAGTTTAGCTTGAGTTTCTTTTTTCTGGACATAAAGTCACAGCAGGTGTTGTTTCAAAGCTGGTGGACCGATTTAGTTCATTTTGGAGGATTTAAGAGTAACTGCTGTGAAAATATTTGCAGTTTTGGGAGAAAATGATTTAAGATTAGATTTTACCTCAGCAAAAGATTAAATATGAAGGAAGGATTGAAATTTAACTTAGGTAACACATAAAATGAATACAACTACTAAACACTACTGTGTCCTAAGGAAACAAAGACTAAAATGTAACAGGGATAAAATTTTAGAGAATTAAAATCCCTAAAAGGAAAAATAATAAACTTGATATACATATCTATACATGCAGCT